GCTTAGAAAGCAGCGCGGGACAGTAATGGCATCTCTGGCGGCTTAGAAAGAAAAACGTGTCCTCTCACAAACAAATCTATTATATTTAGCGACAGAGGCTAGAGATACAAAACAAAATTTACTTGAAGAACATAAGATTTCTACCTCACGAATCAAATATCTGCAGTTTGATCAATGAATGTCAATTATTAAAAAACGTGAAAGATAACCAAACTGATGTGAAATGTGAAAAAAATGATGTAAAAACTTGTAAAAATGACCTAAAACTTAAAACATACAAAATATGACAAAAAAAATGTCCATTATAATTTGGCTCAGAGGCCTCCTTGAGGCATGAGGTTCTTTTACATGCCGTAATGCTACGACACAGGGACCCACAGCTTAAAGTCCCTCCCGGAGGACTTGTTCCCTGAATTTTTCCGCCCTTAAAAATTCCACGACCTTCGCCGGGTTTGAACCCGCGTACCTTGAGTCATGAGGTGGGAACGTTACCCCTAGACTATGGAGGCTGCTTCTTTAGTACTTAAAAGCAACGTTTACTACATAAAGAAAAAAAGATGACATGTCATCAAAATCCGGGCCCTGGTAATGATAATGGAATTAAGAGCAGTAAACTTTTTCACATCCAAAAATCTTACTGTCAAAAGTAAAATGTTCCCACATCGTAACATTAATAAATTTACTTGGACAACTCCTAGTGGGAAGACACAACCAAATTGACCATATTTTGATAGATAGGAGACAGCATTCAAGAATAATTGATATCTGATCATTCAGGGAAGCAGATTATGATAGTGACAAGTATCTGGTGGTGGCAGAAGTTAGGGAGACACTGGCAGTGAGTAAACAAGTCACAGAGTTCACATGGAAAGGTTCGATCTCAAAAAATTAAACAAGGTAGAGGGTAAAGTGCAGTATCGTGCTGAAATCTCAAATAGGTTTGCAGCTTTGGAAATCTTAGACAGGAAGGTGGATATTAACACTTTGTGGACCGGTGGCATATTTTTATGCCCAGCGCTTTTAAATGTGGCATAGTGGCATATTATTATGACTTTAGGACACGTTATGTTGAAACACACTATACCTTGCACTGGCGCCAGGCAGACGCATGACTGGTGCGTGACAGACCTCTTGAATCTTAGTCAGTAACATGACCCCGCTGTTTATGACCTAACTGTTTTCCTTTCTCACTCCAAACGAAAATGCCTTTTTTCATCTTCCAGTTGCATGCACCAGGCAGGAAGTTACCAGTGCAAAATGGATCAAGGTTGGAAGACGTTGAGCTCCAAGCGTTTTCCCGGAGAACAAGAAATATCTGACTTGTTCTCTGATGAGCTATCTGACGTCCCTTGTGAGTCTGCTAGTGATAGCGACTCACAATCTGATAGTGAGTGTGGCAGGGGCAAACAAAAAATTGTGACCACAGACAGTGAAAGTGAAAGTGAAAGTAACAGTAGCTCTGACCAAAGTGCGGGTAGAAACATTGCGGGGACAGCCACATGGGGAAAAGTAGACAAAATGCCTGCTTTGGGACAGTTTACTGGAAATCCAGGGGTGAAGCAAATTCCATCGGACCCAACGCAAGTGTCTGAAGTAGCGGAACTGTTTTTCCACAATTCACAATTCGAGCATAGTTGATGTTCAAAGGAGACATGGACAGGTAAACAAGCCTGTTTGTATTTCCGAGTATAATATGTTCATGAAGGGAGTTGACAGAGGCGATCAGTACTTGGCCTATTATTCTCTTCCTCGGAAAACAATAAAGTGGACAAAGAAAGTTGCCTTGTGGCTTTTTAAACTGTGCCATTTTCAATTCATTTTTGGTTTTCAAAAATCTAAACCCTCATTCAAAATTGAAATACAAGGCATTTCTGCTGAATGTGGCAAAAGCCTGGGCTACAGACCACACGGTGGCGGCAGAACCAGCGGCAGACACAGTCTTAGTATGACCGGGGCTGTATACTCCCACCCCATGCAGGCCTCATTTTGACCTCCCTGGGCAACTCTCAGGTGATATGCGGAAACATACCCTTGTGAAAATTGTGAAGAGTGAACATGCCAAGAGGAAGCAGCCTTCTAGGTGATGCCGTGTTTGCACAGTACACAACAAAAGGAGTATGACTGTCTACATGTGCAAGTTCTGTGTAATGCCACTTCATAAAGGGGAATGTTTCCAGAAATATCACACTCTCAAGCACTTCTAGGAGCACTGGTATGTGTTCTCCAAAAATTTTAGTTCATAAAATTAATTAGGAGATTTTATATTAATTTTTAAAGTGAACAGTGCACAAGTTAGGGTAGTAGGTTTAAAAATGCCGGTACCCAGGGTGATTTAAATATTTAAATTGCCAGTCCGCAGAGTGTTAACAGAGCTTGGGAAACTATTAGAGAATAACAAAATTTCTGCCAAAGAGAGTCTAGGTTAGTATGAATTGAAGAAGCATAAGCCATTGTTCAATGAAGGATATTCAAAACTATTAGACCAAAGAAAACAAGAAAAATTGCAGTGATTATAGGATAAAAGCAAAATAAATGGGGATAATCTGAACAATATAAGACATGAAACCAGCAGGAATTTCAGGAACAAAAAGAGGCAATATCTGAAAGACAAAATTGATGAGCTTGCAATGAACAGTAAGAACAAGAACATTAGAAACCTGTATAGAGGAATAAATAACTTCTAACAACGGTTACCAAACACAGAAGTAACTTAGTGAAGGATGAGAATGGTGATCTGCTTGCAGATTTCCACAACATTTTGAATAGGTGGAAAGACTACTTCTCCCAGTTATTGAATCCACATAGGATCAGTGATGTTAGGCAGATAGAAATGCATACAGCTGAGCCGTTAATTCCTGAACCTTGCCTTTCTGAGTTTGAAAGTGATATTGCAAAATTGAAAAGGTATAAATCACCAGGTAGTGATCATATTCCAGCAGAACTTATTAATGCAGGGGGCAAAATATTATGTTCTAAAATCCATATGGTAAGTAATTCTATTTGGCATAAGGAAAATTACCTGAGCAGTGGAAGGAGTCTATTATTGTACCAGTTCACAAGAAGGGTGATAAAAGTGACTGTAGCAATTATCGGGGGATATCACTGCTATCAACTTCATACAAAAATTTTATTCAATATTCTTCTTTCAAGGTTAAGTCCACATATAGATGAGGTTATTGGGGATCATCAGTGTGGGTTTCGACATAACAGATCAACTACGGATGAGATCTTTCGCATTTGTCAGGTACTGGAGAAAAAATTGGATTACAGTGAGACAGCACATCATCTACTTGTAGACTTCAAGAAAGCCTATAATTCAGTTAGAAAGGAAGTACTGCACAATAATCTGATATAGTTTGGGGTATCCATGAAACTGGTTAGGCTGATTAAAGTGTGTTTAAACGAAATGTAAAGTCCATCTAGGTAAACATTTGTCTGATAACTTTCCTATTCAGAATGATCTAAAACAAGGAGATGCTTTATCGCCACTCCTTTTCAACTTTGCTTTAGAATATGCTATTAGGAAGGTCCAAGAAAATCAGGTGGGACTGAAATTAAATGGGACACATCAGCTGTTGGCCTATGCCGAGGATGTGAATCTACTGGGTGATAATATAAATACCAAAAAGAAAACCACACACTTTAATGATGCTAGTAAGGAGGTTGGTCTAGAAGTAAACACAGAGAAAACTAAGTATATGTTGCTGTACTGTCACCAAAATGCAGGGCAAAATCATGACATAAAGATAGCTAACAGATGCTTTCACATTTTGTGGCACAGTTCAAATATTTCAGAATGACAGTAACAAATCAAAATTTGGTTCATGGGGAAGTTATGAAAAGACTGAATTTGGGTAATGCTTTCTACAATTCAGTACGGAAACTTCTGTCTTCTGGTTTGCTGTCTAGAAACATAAATATTAGAATATACAATACTATAATTTTTCCTGTGGTTTTGTATGGGTCTGAAACTTCGTCACCTAACCTTAACGGAGAAACACTGACTGAGGGTGTTTGAGAACAGTGTGTTAAAGGGAATATTTGAACTGAAGAGAGATGAAGTGATGAGAGGTTGGAGAAATCTGCATAATGAGGAGCTTCTTAACTCATACCCTTCTCCAAACATAATCAGAATAATCAAGTCAAGGAGGATAAGATGGGCAGGGCATGTAGCATGAAAGGGGACGAAGATGAATATAAAACACTGGTGGTAAAGCCAAAAAGAAAGAGACCACTAGGAAGACTGAGACATAGGTGGACTATCTTAAAATGGATCTTAGAGACACGATGGTATGGACTGGATCGATCTGGCTCAGGATAGGGGCCAGTGGAGGGCTCTTGTCAATGCGGTAATGAACCTGTGGGTTCCATAAAATGCTGGGAAGTTCTTGAGCAGCTGCACAATTGGCAGCTTCTCAAGAAGGGCTCAAGCTCCACAAGTGAGCGATAGAAGGTACTATGTGGTATTATTGGTGCTGGTGTCTTTGTGACGCTATATAAGACAAACTATGAAACTGGTCCTATTACTGCGACTTCAAATACAAGGGTAATTAGAAGCTAAGTTTAAGCATGGGTAATGTAACTTACAGTCCTTCTCAGGACGCTGTTAAGTTGATGATGTGAATGCAAGCAGTGAATGATATTCCAGTGTACGAATTCTTACATTAATTTCTTTCAAATCAGTGACTGCATTGTTGCAATATTAACCTGCTTACCTTCCCTAAAGCCTTCAAAGACAATGCATCGATAAACGAAAACCTTATATTTTATCTAGGGGCCTTAACACTGTCGTGTCACAACCACAGACGTTCACCTAAGACAATTCCGCATAGATAATGCCATTCTTATTTTACGATCTCGCCGGCGAGTGAAACTGCTGCGTATTTCACTGCACATACAAATTACCGGTTACTATATATAACACCATTTCCAATGAAAGACCTTATTATTTCTTCCTAAATCACATAGCACTTTATTACTAAATGTATCAAACACACTACCTTGTTGTCAACGTTCTCACCTACACACACAAAACAATATTTTGCCCACATGGTCCTACATAACATTCCTCACCATACCAAAACACACAACTCAATCGACATTCTTCGGCATCGATACCATAGGTAACTGCTCCTGCCGGTTCTGCAATCCCAACCTATCAATCCTTCCAAAAAGAAAAACACTCCTCAGCATCAAAACACCAACATTATAGCGCGAAATTTACTTCTTAATTGTAATGGATGAATCTGGAATTGTAAAAGCAGTCGCCAGCAGAGTACACCACAACAGCTGAACGTATTCAGAAATAAGATTAGGTAGTCTTTAGAACAACGAGAGTATCAGACAAATATGGAAAACAGAAAGAGGTCATTGAGGAACAAGTTTCGCAATTAACTGTTTGTCCCCACATTTACATATAATGAAACAGGCTTCTCTGCCTTTATCTATAGTTAATTCCTGATCATATATCAGATATCCGAAAGCACCCCATGACTGAAAGAACTTACCCAGGAATTTTAGAAGTATACGCCTGACGCTCGAAGAGTACGCACATGAACACGGAAGCTGGTGAACTTTCATTATTAAGATTCGTTACCAGGTAACAACTGTGCGCTCGAGTTGTCAGTGATATACACCCGACCTCTAAGGTCAAGATTAATAATTCAACATTATCTTTCAACTGAAATAGTGAACAAACTGTAAGTACATTTACATTAACTTTACGCCCAACTATGGGTCGTATATAGCAGCCCAGCCAGATACGAATTTCCCACCGCTGCCTCATAGTCAAATACCGATGTACTCGGCATTTTCACAACCAGTTCCTTTACAAGTACACCCACAAAACTCGATAGTATACAGCAGCCAGCCACAAAATAATACCCAAATTCCTGTAATAAATCCATTAACTCCGCAAACCCCAACATACATACCAAACTCAAGATTTCTCACAGTACAAAAAGGAGTAGGAACCACCGGAGAACCTGATTCATCAAAGAAGCAAGAATATTGGATAGGAGATACAGTAACAGTAAACAACAGATTCAGTGCTCTCACAGACGAAGAGACCATGAAAGGAGAATCTTCAAACACCGAACCAAAGACCCCCACCCATATTTGTATCCTGCGTTAAAAATATAAAACCACAGGTTTAATTGCTAAATGCTATTGCCCAGCACAAGCACATACTGAAAACATTATACAACAGTCAAGTGAAAGTGGAAAGTTCCACGTACACAACAATAATAAAAGCATTAACAGAAAAGCAAGCAGAATTTCATACCTATAAACCCAAAAATGAAAAGAGGATTCCGCGTAGTCCTTAAAAATATCCACCCAACAACTGAGTTAAATGAAATAAAGCAAAGTCTTCAAGAAAATGGGCATGAAGTAACAAACATCTGGAACATTGAACAACACGACACAAAAATACCACTACCGTTGTATTTCATAGACTTAAAACCAAACGAAAACAACAAACAAATATACAAGATAGATTTACTCTTAAACACAAAAGTAAAAGTTGAAGCCCCCCACGTCAAACGAGAAATTCCTCAGTGCAAACGTTGTCAAAGATTTGGACATACGAAAAACCTTTGCCGACAACCCCAAATGTGCAGCAGAACATCTAACAGAAGAACGCCCAAGAAAAAACAAAAGATTCCAATGTCAAATGCGTAAACTGCAGTGATCACCATCCAGCCAACTACAGAGGCTGCTTAGTACACAAACGATTGCAACAAAAATTCGACCCAACGTTACGAGAACGAAAAATACAAATCAGACCACTTCAGAGAGGAATGACATATTCCCAAACACTACCGCAACTCAAGAAAGTCGAACCATTTCCAGTGTCATGGTACAACCTTCTAATGATCTAGCTGAACTCCGTCAAATCACTAACGAACTCTACCCTCTTAACTGTTGATACGATTCTCTTATGTGCGAAAAACACCTGTATCTAATTCATGATTTTCATTCCCATTTCCATAGAAAAGTACTAGGTGGTTCAAATATGACCGAGAATGAATTTTTGTAAACAAACCGCACTGCGCAGCAGCTGTGCGACCTTGAGAGATTGTAGCCACAACCTCCACTCTCCCTCCTCTTAGGGTTAGCACCTGTTCAGTGCTGTCTGGGAGTTGCTAGAGGAATGAGCGTACAGAAGGTACTGCGGAGCTTGGAACAACGCATTGTGAACAAATTCCTCGTTGGAGAAAAGTCCCGTCCGCTGAAATTCACCACAGACCCCAACCACAGTATGGGGAAGAGTGTCTCTCACGGACCCGTGTGTTTGAGTGGTGTAAGTACTTCAGAGAGGACAGAGAGCGCGTGGAGAATGAACCGCACGATCGTCGGCCGCGAACATCTGTCACCAAGCCAAACATTGATTGTGCAGACGCACTTATTCGTGAGAATAGGCGCATTACTATCAAGGAACTTGGAGCAATGCTGTCCATCAGTGTTGGTAGTGTAGAAGACATCATGAAATACCACCTGCACTATCGCAAGGTGAATGCACGGTGGGTACACGCACTTTGACGGACGTGAACAAAATGGTGTGCATGCAAGTTGCCAGTCATCTCCTACAGCAGTTTGAAGACGAAGATGATGCATTTTTGAAGTCTATAGTGACCACCGATGAAACGTGGGTGCACTACATTCCCGAGTCCTAGCAATCATCACGCGAGTGGCAGCATACCAGTTGTCCCAAACCCAAGTGAGCGCGGAGGAGCCGTTCGGCAGGAAAAGTGATGGCAACGTTCTTCTGGGACTGGCAGGGGGTTATCCATGTAGACTTTCTGACAGATGCCAGAACAGTCAATGCAGCTTATTACTCAGACCTCCTGGCAACAGACGTGAAGGAAAAGATCCGATCCAAGCAGAAGAGAAGTGGAAAGCGGTTAGCCTTCCTTCAAGACAATGCGCGCCCCCATACGGCCAAAACAACAATGGAAACCCTCCGGAAATTGAAATGGAACCTTCTGACACATCCGCCGTACAGTCCCGATTTGGCACCAAGTGATTTCTACCTCTTCGGAAGGCTCAAATGAGACTTGCAAGGCATTCGGTTTGTGGACAACGACGCCATTATCCAGAATGTTCTGGAGTGGATACGCCGCCAACCACAAGTCTTTTTTGGGGGCGGGGGGGTATCAGGATGCTTCCAGAAAGTTGGATAAAATGTGTTGACTCCAGAGGGGAGTACGCTGAAGACTGACATGTGCAAGTAAGTGTTTGGCAATTTTATATATATGTAGTCTCCTGCTGGTGCGATGCCACCTCCACCCCATCTGACCTCCTGTACTCCCGCTAAATCTATCTTATATTTTAAGATTTCTTCTGCCACTGCACTGAGCGAACCTGCCCTATACAAGCTTCGTACATTCCAAGCGCCAAATCTCATATCCATTTTCTTTAGCTTAGGTCGTTTATCCAAGGATCAGTCCAGGTTCGAGGCTTTGTGTTCATTTCCGTAACATAATGGGTTTTTTTACAGTGAGGAGTTCTTTAGACCCACGCCTAACCCCCCAGCTGAATAGCCACCTCTTTTCGGCTGTCAGCAACTACTTATTCAATATATTCACAGCTTCCCTCCAAAACTTAACGGAGTCTCCTCTATCCGCAACGTGAGGACGCGCCATGCCGTGGTGACAAAGGACCCAATTGTGCAGCTACTCAAGAATTTTCCAGAATTTTATTTAACCCGAAGTTTCATTACCGTGTTCACAAGAACCCTCCACTGGTTCCTATCCTGAACCTTGGAAATGTTAAAAAAAAAAGTAAGACCTTACCCACTGACCACTGGCATCTCTATTTTTCCGAATTCTTTTCGGCGGAGGACCTCCTAGCACACCCTACTCATTGAAGACTAGAGGAACCTACACAACACTGTCGAAAGTTGGTACTGTTCGTGAAATGTTCAGCAGGTACCGATGGAAATTTAGTAATAACTGAGTTGTCTGCGATTTGCTGTGACGCCACATCATGGGGACACAGCCTGAATCAGCCTGGGTGAATTTTTTGACAACTTTGTCCCGCCTAAGCCACTTAAGGCCACCGGACGCTGGTCACAGTAATAGTTACGAACTCTAACTCCATTGGATTTATAAGTGACCTAACAACCGTATTCTAATACTTAAATATATAAATTGTTCACAGCCAATCAAATTTTCATCTCATAAAAATTACAACTAAAAATGGACCCCAAATTAACCTGGATGTAAGTAACGCTAACAAAATAATTTTTGAAGCACGACATAAAATTCCTTGGTTTACTCGTATACAGTACACAGTCATGGAAATGACATATTGAGCAAGTACTACACATGCTAAGTGCAGCTTGTTATGCACTCAGATCTATTTAACCTTAGATGTTTCAGGAAGCAATGAAAATGGTTTACTATGCCTACTTCCATTCCACTATATTACATGGAATAATATTCTGGCGAAACTCTACAGATAGCACTAAAATCATCAGAATGTAAAACAGGCCAATTAGATTTATCACAGGAAGCAAGAATACGGATTCTTGCAGAGATCTATTTATAATCTTAGCGTTTCACTCACAACACATATTCTCATTCTTGTTATTTGTGGTAGACAACAAAGTATGTACAAAAAAATCTGACATCCATAACATAAATACGAGGCAAAGACTCAACTTCCACCAAAATTCAGCAAATCTATCTCTACGTCAAAAAGGAGCTGGCTCCTTTGGAATCAAAGTGTTCAGTAGTCTCCCTAAAAGTCTCAAAAGAACAACTGATAATATTAAGCAATTTTAAACAGAACTGAAATGTTACTTACATGCTCACTCATAATCTGTGGGATATCGATGTATGAAGAGACAACAGTTTGTTGAACTGTCGTATAAATATTGATTATAGTTGCACAATATATACAGACGAACTTGGATTTGAAGAATTAAAGACTAATAATATAGTACCAGCAATTCTAATGTCAAAGTCGCATTGAACTTGTCCCTGCGCAAGGATGTCACTCAAATACTTATACCGCTATATCTTCCTCATATATAACATTGCGTCAAACCGCATAGAAAACACGTCGCTGTCCGTATTGTTGTAGGCTTTGCCTAGCAACGGCTGTTTACTCGCCGTTTCTAAGCAATGATATTTG